CCGATCAATCCGCTCGTCCCGGACGGCGCTCCGTTGGCCCAGCACCGTCAGCGCTCTTTTATTGTGAGGCCAGATGAAGAGACCCCGTGAAAGAGGTTCTGTCGAATCTAACCGGTGGTTTATGTGCGTACATAACAAGGTCATACTGATCTGACTGGGCCAGAAATCATTAGAAGCTCAAGCTGAAATTGACGATCTATTTGCATAGAGAATATTTCTAATTAGGCAGATTGTAAAAGTACAAAGGAATGCACATACGCATCCCGGCGATGTTTCTCAATGTTTTTTTGTGAAGCTTCTAATCCAAAGTAGTGTGCTCACACACGCGCGCGCACCTACATACATAAATATACATGTATAAATATGCACACACACACAAAGGCAGATTCATGAATAGATATATATGCTTGAAACGAGAGATTAGAAAACAATGCATATGGTATCTAGTTTTACCTCCGCCAAGGACGTATCGCATTATCCGTCTTAATGAAATCGTTTGGATTTGCTACCATCAGTCCAGTGAACATTCGGTGTAAGAATGGAGCCAATGATAAGAGGTAGTTTCCAATTTCCACTTTACCTGTATGTTGATCTAGAACAGTGTTGTCCAAACTGCGGTCCGCGTACCCCTAGGGGTACGCAATATAGATCATAAGGGCACGTGAACAAACAAGGAAAACACACAAATACACACAGAAACAGAAACATCACATGTTCTATGAATCATCTTTTTTATTCCTGTATTAAATTCGAATTTATTGACCATCACTCCTGCAATGCAGTCTTTTCATAATTAGTATATTATTTGTATTATACTAAATAAAACAGTTAGTTTACCCATGGTGGACGGGGTGGGGTGGGGGGTATGTGTAACAGTACAAGAAGGGAATAAAGGGTACCACTGGCTAAAATGTCTGGACAACACTGATCTAGAAGACCAGTAGGGATAGTACAACCGTTCGGCTGACACCAAAGCAAAACGATGTCAGTAATATCAAGCAACAAACCTACCTTTTCTCCTTTCGCGTTAATGAACTGATATAAAACCTAATGACGAATAGCCGTCAAAATGAAGCCTCAACCGGCAGATCTCCCATTAAGGCCTCATCAGTAAAGTTTGGGTGTCAATGGACTTATTTCAAAGTATGACTGCCCAAACTATATCACGAGAATGATCAATTGAATTTCGATTAAGTTACTAGCTCCAGGAAATTCGATTATAGGAAGCTATCTGCGTATCACCTCACAGTGGACATTGGAAACGATTTACGAACTCGTAGCAACTACTTTTTTCTAGCCTTGATTATATCGCGTTGCGCTTCCCTAAACGCTGATCGTATGTGGCGATTCATCTCGCGTTCAGTGGTATGTGCAGACATTAGTAAAGCTCAACATTAGTGTTTGTATTGTCTTTTTTTACTCTCCTGTTAAGCGGTTCTTCAGTTTCCTTCGTTAATCATAATAGTTTTATTATGCTGCTTTGGTACGTATAATTCTTACATATTACTCATTGTATTTTGGTAGTGGAAAGTAACTACAGTTAGCGTATACATTCCAGGAAAATATGCTGTAGCGATACTAATCTAAACTCATACCAAGCTCTGGAAAGAATTTTAACATCATAGTCATAAATATATTAAACATTTTGCAAATGCCATGACGGCAATTAAAAGGTCAGTTTAGTTATTTTAGTGTTGTAATGCTAATTCGTTTTTCAAGATTTATATACAGCTTGGTTGGGCACATCTGTTTTCAAGGCGAGTAGTGCGTGGGGTAATTCTGTTTCTTCTATAAAACTTTCTGAAAATCATTCAACTTTGTTTCAACCTCGTTAGTTGGAAAAATTCCCAATCATGTGTAGTTATCAAAGAACGAAACACGCAATTTCCATTAACGATGTTATTATAACAATGGTAGTTATGTATGTGAATGGGAATTATTATACAACGATTGTGCATTAAACGGTATTACGTATATGTTACAAGTCAGATAAACAGATATAGCTAACGATTTTTACGTTAAAAGTCCTCGATTCAGTTTCTGTGCACTGGTATTTGCATTATTATTGTTTTATTTTACAATCATTTGTATATTCATGGCTGCCATAATTCGTACACTGCAGATGAGATAATAAAACCATATTAAATGTTACAGCAAAATGTTTATGAAACTAGTTGCAGATGCAGAAAATCGATTTGCAATTTTGTTGCTAAGTTGTAGAGGAAGCTGTGGTTAAGTCCTTGCAACAAGTCTTACAGTTAGCGTTTTTCATTCGTGGGACTGGTTCAATGATAACCAAGGAGAAATGTGGCGGACTCCCTTGTTTCTCGTTTGCTTTTATCTGGTTCACTGATAACGAATATTCTGCACCTGGTGCTTGAGGTACTTTGTTGCGACTGACACCTTGGATCATCAGGAGCGTCAAGGCTGTGGGAGATGGTGTCCCGTCCACTGGCCCAGTCCACCTTGAGCTACAAAGAAATACTCTCCCATACAACTGCCTGACCTGGCAACTCCTGCTACTAGGCGACAGGAGTCCAGGGGCGGATACTGCTTGCTGTGCCTTGCAGCTTGGAACTCATCTTTTATGCTCGCCTTATGTAAGCGAGATCAAGTTAATGTCAAATGGTCCACTTCGTCGTCGGTGACGCAGCCTCGCAACTGCTTGCTGTACACTTCACTTTTACACCACCTTGTAACTTGGTAATTTGTACAAATGTATTGATAAACAAAAGGTCCATCAGCCAATCAATATACTTGATGAAGTCACTTGGAAAGTCTCTGTAGTTGCATCCAAATATATAGATAGATAGATAGATAGATAGATAGATAGACAGAGATAATATATATATATTATATATATATATATATATACATATATATATATATATATATATATATATATATATATATATAATATATATATATATATATATATATATATGGATGTTTGGATTAACGCACACACACACGCACGCATGCATTGTTGCCTTTATGTTATGGCATAAATAAACTGTTTCAGATCTCGTTGTAGGTGACAGTATAATTATTGGTGTAGATATGTGCAAACAATACTTTCGTTAGAAGGGTGAACCGTAAAAGAAAAAGAAAGTGTCTATTAGATAACATATACGCGGGGTAAAAAGAACCTTCTGATGCCAGACTAATTCATAGGCAGCCTCTAGGGCATGTTGGCAGGCTGTCTATAGTGAGCTGCCAAGATTTTCAGGGTACGTTGTTTGGATGGTCACTGGAGCACGTTGCTGATGCTGAGCGCCCAACAGGTCGTTTTAAGAAGCCCAGTTTGGGAGACAAGGATAAGAGTGACCGAGACTGTTTCTGTTATTCTCTCCTTTGATTTGGTCGCATGGAGGGGAACCGACACCTTGTGCTTGACTTTCCTTTCGTCCTAAATCTAAATATTCAGCTAAATATACCACGTTCAACGAGCAAACCGAGGAGGAAAGGGACTCATTTTACCTTCACGTAGGCGTCCACGATGTGCCTGGGCGTGTCCTTGGCCTCGTCATCCCTGGAGGTCTCGTCGGCAGGAGTCTCAGCGCCGTGACTGCTTGAGGAGGCCTCCTGCTGGAGGACCTCCTCGTGCGCCGAGATGATCTTCTGGTACTCGGTGTGGGTCTTGCGCTGGTTGTCCGTGATGAAACTGAAGACGCGATTGTACTGCGGGAGGTATCTGGCAGGGGGAAGGGAGGTCAAATGGAACAGATGCCACCAAGGGGCGGAAGGGAGGACAAATAGAAAGGATGCTGGCAACTCTGAGGCATTCGAGAATTATTGTTAATACTCGTGACATCACATTCATTATCAAGTATAAGGAAAATATTCAATTAATGTGTTATTATCGTATATTAATGCTCTTTATCTTGCTATTATGGTAATCATTCTCATTTTTAGTATGATACTTTACGATATTGTTACTTTTGTTATACACACACACACACACACACACACACACACACACACACACACACACACACACACACACACACACACACACACACATACACACACATACACATACAACGAACATTAACGCACGTATAGAAATAAACGAACGCACAAGCAAACACACACGCACATAAAAAAAAAAACATATGCACACTCACACCCAAAGAAAAAAAGAAACAGAAACGAGCAAACAAGCGCACGCACACACACACAAGTAAACAAACCAACACGCGCACACAATCTCTGGTAGCTCGCATTACCCGATTCAAGCCCCGCTCCACCGCAAATGAATCTTGCTCAGCCACGCAAGGAGCGCCGCGTGGCATATAATGCACCGGTGAACCCAGATTGTTCACAAGTATATGCCATTATGTGTAAGTAAAGGTAATGGCCATAATAATTAGTTTTGCTGTTACTACCGGCACTATTATCGTGTTGCGTATACAATAGCATCAGCAATAGTATTAAGAGGAGCAGCTAGCAATTCAGCGCCAGCAGTTATAAGGAAAGCCGGAACGTATAAGCGCCCATGTATACCTCAGACAAGGCAGGAAGTTGAGTGGCCCAGCGACGCCCACCAGCTTCGTGCCCTCCTCCAGCAGGTGCCTCAGCCAGCGCCACGTGCCGTCGTCCTCCTGGTAGGTTAGGCCGAAGATCAACTGGTTCATGGTGTTCCCGACGTGGTGCATCAGCTTCCCCGAGATGTCGATTCCCTCGCTCTCCTCGGCTAACTCCTGTCAAGTGTTGAAGGAACCATCTTTGATTCGCCGTGCTCGCGATTAACCAGAGTAAGGAATTTCGTTATCATCAAAAGCTCCCTTACTCGAAACTGTAAGAGACTGTCCGTGTAGCTGAGAGAAAAGAGGCAGGTGCCAACAGGGGCTGAAAGAGACCTCACCTTGGTGAGCTGAACTCCTACTTCATGAATTCTAGGCTCCATGGCGCCTCTCGTGTTCTTCATGCCATGGTCTCAAAACCCAACACGAACTTTCGATGATCGCGCCACAGATCTCCTTCTGCACATATCAAGC